GAGACTGATTCCCCTGTAGTTGGTGCATTCCAAAATGTCTCGTTTTTTTTTAATAAGTTTCTTCTAAGAAGGAAAATTATACAAATTAGCTAAAAAGGTCTGGAAAATTTTCAAATTAAAAAGATGCATCAATATTTTGTTTTGTGTTGTTCAATAAAACATATATTTTATAACTTCTAATGTATAATCATCCTAATGTTATTTTAGAATCAGTGTCATAAATTATATGTGTAATTATGTGATAAACTGTAAAATGTTCTTAGATTATGATTTTGTGCTTTTTAATGAATAATTTTTTGAAAATAAAAATATATTTCAATAGTGACCATGTATACCTGTAATGACTAAGGGTATATGACTACCTAATTGAATTATTTGTAACTAAATGAGAAGTTACCTCAGTGCTTAAGTTAGAAGAAGAACCTTAGAAGTTACCTCAATGCGTTAAGGCAAGCAATCGCCTTTCTTTAATTTTAACTGTGAGTGGAAGATAAGCATAAAAAAGTAAAAATTAACAAAAAACTTTGTTACTTGCAGCTAGTGAGACTTAAAATAATATCAAATAATTTTTTATCTCTGGTGTTCCAGTAGCTTATTGGAATTTTACTGGGATAAAATCAAGCAACTCTACATGAAATTATGACACTAACTTGGTCAGACAGACAAGATACTACTAACTTTTAACATTACCAACCATGCCAATATTCGGCACTCACATCTGTTCTGATCAGTGACTGTGTGTTTAGGTAAGCAACAGCAGTGCTAACAGCTTCTGTTACAAATCATATTGATTATGATTTTATTTCTTATTTTAGCCTAAGCCTCTGGGTATAAAATTTGTGTATACCTCTGGACTGAGCGCGTACCTGATGAAACAAGGCATAAAAGAAAAAAGTAACATGAAGCTTTTTGCTAGTAAAACTTAAATAAAATGTGTCTTATCATCTTTAAAATATGTGGGATTATTTTAAGTGTAAAATATAAATGTTTCAAGAAATTGTGCAATTTAATGCTAGTTGCTTGATTGTAGAATGCTGGTTGTTTGAAAATTGTTGAAATTTTAACAAAGCTGGTTTTATTTGTGAATTTTTTCTGTTAAATCATGTTTAATAATCCTACTTAAAATAATAGTATCTGTTTTTAAGTCTGAATCATACTTAAAATAATAGTACGTATCTGTTTTAGTCTGAATACCTGAGATCTGTTTGTTCTGTTCTTATAATGGTATTATGAACGTGAAGTTTGGGCATATAATTGCTTTAATTTATTCAAATCCCATTTGCTGATATGTCCTTAACTTTCACTGACGGTTCTTAAAAGTACTTAATTTCTCTGTGCAGAAATGTGTATGAACTCTGTAAAGCAGAAATTTTTTTCAATAAGAAAGCATTTGTGTGCGAATTATAAAAGAAAATGAAATGCAGATTGTAGCCAGATGTTCATGAAAGTCGTAATTGTTTCTGAAAAGTATTTTAAAGGTATTTCTTTCATATGTGCATTTTAAATGAATTATTCTTGATATTCTCTGATAATGGTGATGTAAAAAAATACAGTACAAAGTCCGAGATCTGGACGTCCAATATCCAGACTGATCTAAAATCTGGGCCCCAAAACCAACCAGCAAACCCCATTTTTTTTTTGGTATGCTTTATGCATGTGCATTTGATTTTTTTCCCTGATAATAAAACGTGGAGAGTCCCCGATTCTTAATTTTACTTCGGCACTAAATAAATATTTCGTTACTGAAGAATAATTTAACAAATTTGTGTCATTAATAATTTGGCTCCTTAGCTGCATAGCTGCTCGGCATACATCTCAAACCCTAAAATTCTACTTAGAAATATTGTACATTTTACACCTACTAATATTTTATATCCCTGATGTCAACCTAGCGAATTATTATTTATAGTATTTTGCTCTCATCACTGTATTTTTATCAACACATGGCAACTTAAGTAATGACTCATGCAGCAATGAAAGGAAAATTTTTTGTGTTAGTAATTTTAATAACAAAGAGTATGGGTAACCTTTTATATTGAAATTACGCTTTGCAATGATTGCAGGTTTATGTTAAATACACTTAAGAAATGTTGATGATTAAAAATTTAATGAAAATTTCTTTCGATATGCCAAAAATAAATTTTTTTTTTTTTTTTTTTTTTTTTTTTTTTGTTTCTTAGGCCAAGAGATAACATTTAGTGCTATTTGAATTGAGAATAACTGATTTGTTTTTCACATATACCCAGAACTGGTGCCAGAACTCGTATGACCACACCGGGTGGCAAAATTTAGGGAATTTTTGGAACATAAAAATTAAGGGATGAAAAAATTTTTAGAATTTAGGGAAAGCAGTGGGATCCAAAATTTAGGAGCGGCAGAGATTTAGAACTTAGGGAAGCACTTAATAGCAAAATTTAGAACCCTCAGAGATTACATCAGATGGTAAGATATCTAGCGTCTGCCCTCAGTAAGCCTTAAGTATATGTGGGAGTTTATTTATTCAGGACTCGGTTAAGCCTTAAGCATGTGCTAGAAATAGACATAAGTATAATAAGTAACTAATATAATTCAGGTTTAATCATCTCAGTGTGCAATACAAGCAAGACAAAATTTAGTGGAACATCTTGTCTTTCATCTGCAATCTCAAGATAGATAACCAATAATGTATAGCAGATGTTATTAAGCTAGGCTAAAATTATTCTTTTCAGATTCCTAGGAATTTCAGTCAATATAGCAGATAGCGTTGTTCCTTAACTTTCTGATTTGATCCTGCTTATTTTTTTTTGCAGGCTGTTTTTATTACAATTGTATGAAAAATAAAGTTTGAACTTTCGATTATGTCAAAAAAAAGAAAAAAAAAAAAAAAAAGTTTCTATTTCTGCAGCTGCAACAGGATCTACAAAGCATGTTTCAATGTCCATTAAATAAAAAGTAGAATTGCTGGGGGGAAAATGGATAAAGGTATATCCGTCTCAAAATTATTGAAAAGTCAACTAGTCATATAAGGAACTTTTTGAATTTTTGTGGATTCCGACACCCCACTCGCAATGAATAACAGAAAAATTATTCATTATGCTAAAAGTGAAGACAATGAGTCGGACGTTGTCGCAGCGAGGATGGGCCATTGACGGGTCCAATGCTAATTTCTCAAGCTAAAATATTTCATGAAGTGTACAGTAAAGTATTTCATGAATGTAAAAACTGAGTGTACATATATGACAGGTTGGTTAACCAAATTTAAAAATTGCCATGCTATAAGGCAAGTAAGAGTTTCAGGTGAAAAAGTTTCAGCTGATACTGAAGCTGCTGAGCTATTTGCTGATGAATTCATCGGCAATAGTGAAAATTTATATCCAGAACCAAATTTACAATGTTGATGAAACTGGTCTTTTTTGGCAATATGTACCACAAAATATTGGCAACCTTTATAAAAAAGGCACCAGTTGGTGTAACAGTTTTAGCATGTGCAAATGCTGCAGGAATGCACAAGTGTAAACTTTTTGTTATCGGAGAAAATACACGACTTTGAGTATTTAAAGGAGTAAACATTTTGCCCGTTATATATTGTGCAAATAAAAGGGCACAGATGACTCAAGTGTTAATAAATGATTGGTTTGAAAATCATTTCATAGCTGAGGCTTAGCAGAATTCAGTTGGTTTACCTTATGACAAAAAAATTGTCCTGATTGTCGACAACTATTTGTTTCATATTTCACTTTTCAGCCTATGGATGTCAGAGTAGTGCGAGTGCCGAAATGTAAATATAAAATAGAATTTTTACAATCCATGTTAAATTTCTTGAATAATGGCAAGACTATTTAAAATTTTTTTAATATTTTTGCATAAAATCTGCTTTGTGGAGCATCGCTAGAACATGGGAGGATGTGTCTCCAGATACTTTAAAAAGTGCTTGGCATAATGTATAGCCAGCTACCATAGCATGGTGAGGATGATGAAGATGATAACTGTGGATTTTAAGGTTTTCAGATATTGCAAAACAAAGGTGAAGTTTTCCAAATAATGAATTTGTAAAGAAATGTGGAGAAGCTGTAATAAATGAAGATGTATAACAGGAGTTTTCTATTGCGTTGATAATGCCCCATTCATCAATCAATTTATAGATGGCGAAATCTGTAGTATGGTTCTAGATCCAAGAAAATACCGCTACCGATAGTGAAGAAAGTTACAGAGAGGTTATTGAAAATGAAAAAATTATGATTGATAAGTTAGTCAGAATTCTCGAAACAGCAATTACAGGACTTGAACAATGTAACATTTGAACTGACTAAGAAATTATGTTTGTCTACAGAATTAAAGAGAAAATATTAACATAAAAAAAGCAACTTAAACAACTTAAATAAATATTTAATAAAGTAAACAAAATAAATATTAACCTTTTTCTTTTTGTAAATTTTGTTACCATTTAGATCATAAATGCTTCATTATTTTATAAATTATGATTTCATATTTAAAATTTTTTAATTTCTATATACCATCTTACTAGTTTTAAACTGATGATCTAATACCCGGAAAAATCCCAAATCTGGAATTGCCGGAGTCCTGACTTGCCTGGATCTCGGACTTTGTACTGTATTTTTTCTACGTAAGTTAAAATGGAAGAAATATTAGGGGACGATAATAACTAAAGAAAAATGCAAGAAAGAGTAACTATTTTTAATACAGTTTGTTCGATATTCATGTTTAGTTTTATTACTTGTTTAAATTTAATGAAACATTTTAAGACGTTGAACTTTATTTTTTAATCTAAATTAATCAAAAAATATTGTATAATTATTAAACCCAGCTTTTCATCATTTTCCCACTTTTCTTTCATAAATTGAAATTAATGTGACTGACAGTAAAGTTCCATACTAGTGATGAAAATTTGATTTATTCATAAGTATACTTTTTTTAATTAAATATACATAACATCAAAATTTTTGTTCTGTATGCTGAGAATTATCTTCTATGATTTAAACGTAGAAATGATTTATTTTTAGTGCTTTGCCATAAGGTTCCACTGCTATGGGTAATTTTTGTGTCAAGAAAAATGACCATGTACAGACTCTTTCCCAGGCTAATGTTCGGGAAAACCCAGAAATAACCATTGAAACTTCTCTGTCTGCTGACAGTGGCTTGCAGAGTGGAAATGGTGGTATTAGTCAGCTTCACGAAAGGCAACGCTATCCAAACTGCTCATCTAATGCACCCGCACAAGCATTTTCATCTGAAAGTAATAGACAAGGCAATAATTGTAGTAAGTTTGGTATGATCATTTTTTCTCCCTTGATAACTTACTTTGTTAATATTTTAAACTAAATATTATTACCATATATCTATTTTTTTTTTGAAAAATTAAATATGCAGTACTAACAGTCTGTTATAGTAAAGTAAAACTTTATGCTTTACGTTATTTATTTCCAAGAAATATGAGAGAAAGAAAAAGTTTCATGAAATTGAGCAAAATTGAAATAGTTTTATCTAAAGTGTAGTCCATAGCCCATTATTATTGATAAAATTGTTTAATAATGTATCATTGGTATTGTTGCACAAATTTATATGTCAGAAATAATTTTTTCTTAATTTAAAATTTTCTTTAATGGAAAATAATGACACCTGGATTATCTGCAAGATGTTAATGTGTCAGAAATGTGGTGTGTAAATTTCAAGCATATGCATTTCCAAGCCTGTTTTATTTTTTAAATCTCTTGATTTTTGTAGAGTATGGGCCACTGTAATCTATTGCAGTAATAGCAAGCAGTATATACTATATAGTCATAGTGAAACATGAAAATGTGAACATTCTATTAAGTAGCTTTGCAAAGAAAGGAGAAATGCTTTATTTTGTTATGAAAGTTAGCAAGAGAAATGCATAACTTTGAATCCGCAGATTCCATCTGAATTTTTTAGTTATAGAAACTTTAAAAACAGTGCAATTACCTAAGGCTAAAGTACAAATTTCGGAAATAGACAAGGAATTTCATTTAAATAATTTTGGAATGGATTAGGTAGTCAGTTTCTAAAGACTTAGTGTTTGAGATAAAGGTCTAGGACTCAGAAGTGTATAATGCACGTTTTATGTTATTTTTATTTTCATTTACGTAACTGTGAGAAAATTAATTAATTGAAAAATACTTTTAGAAGAGTTCTTTGAAGTTGTGCCCATGATATGACAGAATTTCCAGGAAAGTAAATTTCATTCCTAATTTTCAAATATGTTCTGCCATTCTATACTATTTCAGTTCTAATTGCTTATTTTGTTTATGTAGTATGGTATTAAATTCTAAAGTAAAATTTCAGCATTGTAAAATTTATATTTAATAATTTTAGCAAACATTGAAAATAGTTTCAAATTCATTTTTAAAATACTAGTGTAACTGTTCTCAAGTTAGAGCACTGGAATGTACTCTAAACCAATGGTTCTTAACCTTTTAACTAATGTGTACCATCTAAACAAAAATTGAAAAACTTTAGTATCACCATTACATTTTACAATGATTTTATTTCAATTTCTCAATAGAAATATTATATATATATATATATATTGCCATTATACATCCTGTTGGCTATTAGTATTAAATATGCACACACAAAAATGTTAGATTAAAAATTGGTTACCATTTTAATTATCAAAATTTAAGTTTAATACTTTAATTCTAAAATTTAGTGCAAAATTTGGCCCTGTTTAAGAGAGATCAATTTCTTTATGTCTTATCTTATTTCATTTAGTTTTAACTGTAAATTGGGATCCACTTTTAATTTTGTTCTGTATTTATTTTTCAAATATAGCATGGAAGAAAATCATTGTTCACACAAATAGGTTGCGAAAAAAGCAATAAAAATGTAATAGCTTTATAACTTTCATCATGTTTTCTATAAGCAATTTTTCTTTTCTTTTCAATATTCTCAGTAGATTGTCCTGGATCCCTCTCGTGTGAATCATTACTTTTCCACTTAGTCAATCCTAGCCATTTTGAAAATCTAGGTTTGTTTTATTATTTTTCACAAATATTTAAATGCACATTATATTAACAGTTTTTCAAAAACAAATGATATTCTCAAATCATGTAGAAAAGTAAGGACTACAAAGCAACAAGAAGACAAAATACCTGCTACTAGAGACAGCAAATCAACACACACACACACACACACACACAACACACACACACAACACAAAAAAAAAAAAAAAAAAAAAAAAAAATTACTCTAATTGAAAGCAGAGCAATATGAGCCCAGAGATGGTGGTTATATTAAGTGTAGACATGTTAATAACTCTATACTTGAAGAATTGATAATAAAAGAATTAATAAGATACTATTGTCTTTTTATAGGAACTTACTTTTATTTCCTACCAAATACAGCATCCATTTCTATTACACCTTTTGAAAACATCATTTATGACAAATATTGCTATGTCTATAACTAAAAGAATATTTGTAAAATTAAAAAGATTATTTTGTCTATGAATGGCTATTGACCTTGAACAAAGCTCAGATTGCATAAATTTATGAGTGTTGGAGAAAAAACTGAAGCAGGATATTGGGGTATTTAATTTTTGTATTTAATAGTCAAAAATACTTTGTTTCTTTGTGTTACCGCATGTTTTTCTGTTGGGTACTTCCAGTTGGAATTGGTGTTCTAGACCTATAAGCAAATTTTATTCGAATTTATTAGCTATATTTATTAGTAAGTAAAAAGAAAATGTTATGCAGTGTAATAATTCAGTACAGGTGCCAGAATAAGTATTAAAATTAGAAACAAAAATTATTAAAATAAATATTTCAGGAGTATGATGATGAATAAATTATCAGGGAATTCTGAAAAAAAAAAAAAAAATTAAATGTTCATAATTTAAAAAATTATGTGAATATATTTAAGAACTTTCAATATATGTATACTGTGTTTACTAAAAGTTTTGCTGAGCCAGAATCTAACCTTTAAAAGCAGAAATATTTAATATTGAAATTAGGAAATGCCTTATCATACTTATTGCTGCTTAATAAATAACTTAAAGGTTCAAAAAGACTGAGAGGACACATTTTAAAACACTGACATTTTATTGTTCACTCCTACTATATACAAATTTACGATACAACTGTAAGAAAATTAAGGTGCTTCTGCGCATGCAAGCAGCAATTTCTCCTTTTCATCTGCCGAATCTCTAGGAGGGGGGGGCAAGAACCCTCTCCTCGTAAAGGGGGTTTGCCACACTTATAAAGGGGAAACTTCATTTACGAGGGCCATCCAGGAAGTAGATTACGTTTCCGTCTGTGTCCGCTAGGGGCGGGGCTAGCGCGGCCATCTTGGGGTCAGAGCGTTGCGCAGCTCAGTCTGCATCTAGCCGTGCTAGTGAGAGGTTCGTGCTGTGCTCCGTTCAGATACTGTGACGGTTTGAAATGTCTGCGTTAATTGAAAATCCCGCGAGCTGCGAGGTGCGCTCAGTAATAAGGTTTCTGACTGCAAAAAACTGTAAACCGATAGAAATCTATCGGCAGCTTCGTGAAGTGTATGGGGGACAACATTATCACTGAAGGTGGAGTGCGTCAGTGGGTCATAAGATTTCAAAATGGCCGAACCAATGTTCACGACGAAGATCGAAGTGGGAGACCCAGCATAGTGACGCGCCGAACTTCTCGAAAAAGTCGATGCTAAAGTCCGTGAAAATCGAAATTTCACAATAACGGAACTTTCTTTGGTTTTCCACAAATTTCGCGAAGTTTGTTGCACGAAATCATCAGCGAAAAGCTTGGTTACCACAAGTTTTGTGCAAGATGGATTCCAAAAATCTTGACAGAGGACCACAAAATCAGCGAATGGCTGCAGCGTTGACTTTTGGACGCTTAACCATAAGGATGGTGACTCTTTACTCGATCGCATCGTTACTGGTGACGAAACATGGGTGAAACATGTGAGCTGTGAAACGAAATTGCAATCAATGCAGTGGGGCACACAAGTTCTCCCCAAAAACCCAAGAAATGCATGCAAACAATGTCGGCAAGGAAGATGATGGCGACTGTTTTTTGGGACAGAAAAGGTGTAATTTTGGTGGACTTCCTGGAAAGAGGCACTACAATAACTCTCAAAGGTATTGCCCAAAACTCCTCCAAAAACTCAGAAGAGCAATTCAAACAAGCGCAGAGGAATGTTGAGCTCTAAGATCTTGTTGATTCACGACAACGCCCGGCCCCACACGGTCAAATGTCACTCGTAAAGTTCTTGAATCTTTTAAGTGGGGAGTTTTTCCTCATCCGCCGTACAGTCCCGACCTGGCACCGAGCGACTTCCACCTATTCCCAGCAATGAAGAAGTGGCTGGCTATGCAGCGTTTTGATGACGACGCACAGCTGCAAGAAGAGGTAACGAAGTGGTTGAAGGCGCAGGCGTCCGAATTTTTCGACGAAGGAATTTCCAAGCTCGTACATCGCTACGATAAATGCCTTAATTTGTATGGTGACTATGTAGAAAAGTAGTATTTGAGTGTGGCTTTCATCTGTATATAATAAAATTTGTTTCCTATACTTTGTTTATTTTTTATTCCAAAACGTAATCTACTTTCTGGATAGCCCTCGTATTATACTGTTTATATCTTTAACAGCTTATAAATCTTATGTAGACCAGGTCCAAGGTTTGAATCTTGGCGAATGGGCTGGCTGTATGGGTGTTTTCATGCTTTTCCCATGGGTAATGTGAATATGAGCCAGTTTCCCTTAGAAAGTCCTTCTCAAAAGTATCCCTCCCATCTATCTCTCAATTTCTTTGCCATAATCAAATAAAGCAAACTAAACCTATAAATCATATGCTTTTGATAATGCCTATGAAAAAAATAAATTAAAAATATTATTGAAACTATAATTATCAGAAATATTTACTTTGCTTATCTATATTATTAGGCTCATACTGAAGTCAGCCACATGCTTTATATTAATTGATAGAAGTTATTCTAACTTTGGTTCTTATTCGAGTGACTTTTTCTCTGTACATCTTGTCATCTTCATTGCTATTAAATAATATATATGAAATAGAAATAATGTGCTGCCATTTCATAAAAAAGTTTTAAAAAAATCAGCATTGAATGCAAAAAATTCAGTTCCAATTGCAACCAGAGATTTTAAACTCAGTGGATGCTAAACTGATCCAGGTGGATAATCTATGAACGCAGATGGGCTGTGATCACAGTATAGTACAAAAGATGATGCAAGATTTAGTTTGCTGTAGAATATGTGCAGTGTAGCCACCTTGACAATTGATAGCCAGTTTGAAAGAAGA